GCTTCTCAAAATGGTAATTCCCGCCCTGGCGCATTCTCGTGACCACTTTGTGCACAAATATTTCCTCCCAAAGCCATTTTCCCCATACACGAGCTGTCACAGTGTGCCGTGCCACCAACCTTCTGCTCTCTCCATCATCACTTCCACCTCCAACTTGTCGAATTGGGGGGCGAAACCCGGCCAAGTCCAGCCTTGGGGTTGGGGTGCGTGAGATGGTGCGTGAGATGGCAGGAGACAACCGGCGGCCCTTTCGGGCTGAAAACTTCAGCGATGCGGGAGGGCGATTACTCGAGCTAAAAGCTGGAGTTTAGCGAGAAACGGGGGAGAACTGGGCGCATGGTGAGGGAAGTCGGCGGGAACAGTGGTTTGCAACTCTGATTCACTCACCTTTCCTCCCCAGCAGCTATTCCCGCCCACTGCAGTCCCCCCACACCCATTCCCACCCTCACACCGCCCATTCCCGCCCTTCTACGCACGCCCCGTTGTCCAAGGTGGTGGAGTCCGAGCGGGAGGAGAGAGAAGGGTGGCGTGAGAAGCTGGCGCCGGCGCCGGCCTTGCGCAAGGTCAACGCATGAGTGCCTGGGTCTGTGTGCCGTGGACTCCTGCGACAACAAGTTCTGCCACTGCACAGTGCCACTGTCCATGTTTGTACCAATGCCACGCGGAATCATGTTGCCCCAATATTAGTTTTTTTGGTGTATTTCCTTAGTTTATAACACATTTTTATTTATACTAAAAGTCGGTGTTTTTTCGACAAAAGGGCGGGTGAGGCGGGATGTGTCGGGGTCACGAGCACAGAAATTGCCTCTTTCGGAACGCGTGACCATGCGGAAAAAACCGCAACTGCTAAATTCTCAATAGCTGCTTGTGATGGTAGTGTGTGTGTGTGTAAAATTATTGCTTCCCTAGTTTGACTGCCATACATGACTGCTGTGACTCAGCTTGGTAAAGTTAAAGCTCATCATGTTTCAATCATATTAGATTATTTCTTTTTCCATTGTTGGTGTGAAAGGATTTTTAAGATTGAGATATTTGATGTTATTTAATGAGTTTTTTGGCTAAGAAAAGCTTTACAAGCAATTGGCGGCTTGGTGTGCGACGAGGCACATGGCTGATGCTGATGCTGATGTGACAGATCGGCGCCGGGATGCCCGACCGGTCACCAGGGTAGATGATGGGGGTAACAGGTAACGGGTCTTTACAGTTTGCCTCTGTACTTCGTCTATAGTGCAAGGAGGACAAACTACGACTATCTACGGGTCGGCTCTCACGTAAGCCAGTAAGGAAGCGGGGTATCTTTAACACAAACCATTGGTGCTGCATCACCTAATACTGCGGGCTGGCTGGATGACCACCCCACCCGAAGTCTGACAATATGTGAATCTTTCCCAACTGACAGTATTCTCACCACCTGGTAGCAATCAGCCTTTTAAATATGTCCAATGAGACCATTTATGGTACATCAAATATCACTAGAGCCAGAATAGAAGTAGTACCAGTTAGTAAGCAAGTTGGTTTTATATTGGTTTTGTATAAAGTTTATAACTTTGGAGCTGGCATCTAAGTTTCTAGAATGATATATCATAATATATTATGCTGAAGCTATAATAATAACATAATAATATTGGAATATAATATAATCATAATAATAATAATAATAATAATCTGGCATAATAATAAATCATAATATAATAATGGCCAGCACTAATAATAGTTGTTTGCTTGCTCATAGGACAATGACTCTGAGTCTTAACCTCTGAGCAGTCAAATGGTTCAGAGCATGCTCAAGAGGCTTGGGGGCTTGGGCTTGAGCGGGGGGTGGAGGTTTGGTGAATACCACTCCACTTTGCAAGTTCCATTGGATCTGCACTCTAACAACACTCTGATTAAGTTTCAGACTGCTAATAAGCTCTAATCCCCGATGTGACTGAGCCATCTTGTCAGTAATATTTGAACAACGTAAGCGAAATTCTGTCACCGTGCTTCTAGATTCTTTGATCCGCTCACCACGTGGCACGATTGCTTGTCACTTCCTACCACACTCTTGTCACTTCCCACCACACTCACATCACATTGGAGTAGTCACACGCAAGCATCCAAGTCTGAGGACTCGTACTAGTTACTAGCGCTGCCACCTGGTCTTCCTCGGAACGTCCGCTCCGCAACGGCGTCTAACCGAAGAAGCACGCTGGTCTTCCCTCGGCGCCAAACTGGCGATTTTCCGCCAGTTCCGACACTCTTGCGGGGCGATGTTCTCATGGGAAGACGCTGACGCGATATCCTGTTTGTCAGGTGTGTCTCGGCGGGGCTGCTGCCGCTACTAGTTAACTTGCTTTGCTAGGTAGACTGCTTTTGGCGTCGCTGCAAGAGCGCGAATGGACACGTCTTGGCACATAGGAACTGGCCTGTACTACGGTGACCTGCGTAAGTCTCTCCCCTCCTCAACAAAGCGAGCCCGTCGTCTGTGCGGCACTGATGGCGTCAATCTTCAGCACATCGCGGCAATCGATAGCTAGCCGTAGTAAGCGCCAGGGCCCAAGAATAGCTGCGACTATTCGTAGACCCTTATATTAAGGATGTACACCTTACTGGCCTTTCCTTGTGGAAGCACGGTGGGACCGTCGCACAATGCTCGGCCTCATCTTTGTCGGCCTCTCTCTCTCTTTCTCGTTGCTCACCACCACGACCGTCTCAGCGTCTACTAGTACTGGCAGCGCCGGGAGACTGGGCACCAAGTCCCGCGATGCCGTCAAACTACCTCCCCAACAGCCCTCTTTCTCTACATTCTCCCTCGACGCGCTTCCCCCCCGCCTCCGCCCTGCTGGTCAGGCCTATCCCACTCCCTGACGTCTGCCAATCTGCGTTCATGCAGTCGCCTGGGGCAGAGTGCCCTGCCAGTGGCATGGAAGCCGTAAACGTCACCTTCGAGGACTGCGGTACACCGTACACAATCTGTCGGTGCTCTAATGCGCCAATGACGATGGACACGGTAATTGTACGGCTCGGGAAGGTGCCAATCGGCCTGCGCCGGTACATCGGAACGGTGGTCGTGCTCCCGACGGACGATACCGGCCTCTCCGGCGCGTATACGCTCACAAAGCCGAGCGGGGAGATGTATTTGTTCGGAGACTGTGTGCAGAGCACCTGGGTACACGAGGTACGTGGCGTAACTGATCTCATGGCTGGCAACCTCTGATTCCGGCGGCGGCGATGTAGGCCACTCACGCTTACGACTTTGCAGACCCGAATGCGTGGCAATCATACGCGCCGTCCTGGGCGGGAGCCATTGACGCGGACTCCTGCGTGCCTGACGTCTACTCGCAGACCGACATCATCGAGGACTTTGCTCAGATGTCCGTGATCATGGTCTACTCGCTCCTCCATGGCGGCGCGCTCCCGCCCGGCTTTTCCGCCCGGCTGCATGCGGCACCAGCTCGCGTACATGGCCATGCTTCCCGCATACGCCCCCGCCGTGCTTTTCGGGAATAACTGTAGCATCAGCAACGGGCCGTGGTCGTCTGCGTGGTACTTATTCTCCCGCCTTGAGTACGTAGCTGGCACACGGGAAATTCAAAAATTTCTTTTCCCTTTTAAACATGTATTGAATGTACATATTTAGATACATGTTTCCTCAACCAAGAAATATGATATATTAATTATTTCATAAATGACTCTTCTTTATCAAGCTTTCTGTAAGAACAAAAAGAATGTCTTTCACAGGGATGGAAAAGTTATTGAAAAGCTAACCTTTCCATATGGCTTTGAATACCCCTTTCTGTGTACTATAAAGAATATATTTTCACTCATTTCAAAAATATGTGGTTTATATTCCTCTTTATTTGTGGTATAAAAGATGATATTTCTGCCATTTTTAGAAAGGTCTTCTTTATATGCACCTTTGTTAGCAGACAGAAAGAACATCTTTCAAGACAAAGAGAAAGGTGTGCTTTTTGATCGCATGAAAGGGGTAAGGAAACATCATCTTTCTGACTTTTTCAGAAAGATGCTCTTTGTTCTTGTATGAAAGGGGAAACAAATGATGTCCTTTCTGCCAAAGATATAAAGATGTTATTTTCATTGACATGAAAACATGAATATAAATAGCTTCTTTGTGAAAAAAATAAAAACATTTCCTTTCTGCGACAAAGAAATAGGTATACAAATCTGTATTGAAAAGATGAACTTTCAATTGACATTTCAGTTTTTCCTGAAACAGGTCCTTTCCATACAAGGGAAATATCTTTGAAAAGCAACTATTTATGCTAATTCAGATATATGATCTTTCTTCCCTATAGAAAGAAGAATTAAAATGTTTACATTAAATTCATCTTTTAATGGGAAAAGAAAGTTTTGAATTTTCCCTGTGTGGCTCTAAGTTCTTCCGCAGGCATACGGACTCGCCCGCGACGCTCGACGCGTCACGCACGTTCAGCATCATTGCTACTGTCCCTTCTCATTCTACAACTGGGCCGAACCAGTTCGAGGACATGCCAATCACCGGCATGCCGCCCGTTGGAGCCCTAACGACCGGCAGCACAGCTCAAAACAACGGCGCTCCACGGATCGGTAGGTGGAGATGGGTTGTTCTCGCAGGTTAGGCTACGGTGGCCGGGATCCTCACCCGTGGGGATACAGGTTTCGGTAGTTAATCCTGTTACTGAAGCTAAGGGTATTAATGGAACGACGGAGAAGCGCATGACGGAGGCTATGCTTGGAAAAACACATCAGTGGGTATGAGTGCATCTCCGCCGCCAAAGCGGTGAAATGACAACGTTAACGGGAGGGAGCGCCGGCAGTCGGCCCGGATCACCTGCGTTGTCACCGTGACCGGATCAAAAAGTCAACAACGACGTCACTCATCGTTTTGGATGCTTGTGCCATTGCTCCGGCGAAGTCTCACCCTGTGGTGTGTGCGCTATTCCTGTCGGCGTAGCGTGGGACACAGGTCTACCATACGGAGCGTGGTGTCACGCGCCGCTCCTAACTTGCCTCCCACCCCCATGTCCACCCCAAACCCAAGCCTCCGCCCCGGCCTCGTTAACCACCCTTCCACACCCGCGACCCGGGGTGCGCTGCTTGCGATGCTAGCGAAGGACGCGGAGGAGCACCACTGCTTCACGAACGAGCTGGGGTTTCATAACCATCTGCCGCACCAGTCAGTCCTTCGTGTCCCTCTCGCCGGTCGGCGCACTCACGGGATTGCAGCCTCGTCGCGGCTTTCGACATGGGCGCCACCCACACGCTACTGAAGGCCATCTGGGACGACGAGACGCCGACGCTGAAGCCGATCGACCGACATGGCGGGGAGATTACGGCGGGGAATTGGGCGGAAAGGCTGGGCGAGCATCGGTGCGTGTCTTCTTATTTGTGTATATGGGGTATTCTCACAGGGAAATAGGGCGTATGGCAGCTATTACGACTTCTTTAAGGTGCAGCTCGCGCAGAAGGGCGCCAGTCGGGTGCTGGCAGAGTATGTTCTCGCGCCAGAGGCAAACGCAGGGAAGAAAAAGATGTTCGGGCGGTTCTTGGCGGGCGCGTGCGTATTTTTTGTTTCTCAAGCGGAGGGTAGGCGCTGACGAAGTGCAGAGTGCATCCATTGTTGCAAGTCGGGGTGCGTTATACTCTTTTTCTCGTCCGATAGACCAATGAGCGTAGTTTGGACTCGAATTCGGCCAGGACAACATGGTTGCCGCGGGCCTAGCGATGGCGGCTCTGACGGCGCCGGACCAGCCCAACTACTTTCTGGACGCCACGACTGGCTTGCCAGAACGGCTCGTCAAGCCCGTAGAAGGGACCACGCTTTTGCAGCTGCTCCAAGAAGTCTACGATTCGGACACCCTCACTCCCATTATGCCCTACAAGCCCGATGCCCTCCTCTCCACGCGTTTCAAGGACCTCGCTGCCGATCCCGCGCGCGGTGAGGCGATCAAAGCGATTTACTCAAAATGGGCTCTGCACTCTGACTCTGAGGACGAACTGAATCTAAAGATCAACGAGTGTCTCCTCCAGGCCACCCTGCTGGTGACGTCGACCGGGAAGGCCGGCCGCCCCGCGCGACTTGACTTTTTCCTCATGCACGCGCTTACGTCCGCGCTCTGCCTGCCCCCGATCCTGCGCGCTATCCCCAGCGTTGAGGGAAGGAACATCGTGTTGCAAGGGTATGCTCGGGCCTGTGCGATGTATGTCATCCTCCGCGGACGACCTCGCGTTGACGGCGCCCTGATCATGTCCTACCCTGAGGATCCCGCACCGGTTGGCTGGGGTGCGACGGGGCCCGGACCGTCGCTCGGCGGCGGTGTCATTGCGAATCCGTGGCTGCCAGCCATCCACAGCGCGCTGCACCACCGGGACGCGCACGTGATTAAGGTCGTCCGGACACTGTACTACGCTGCGGGGCGCATGCCGGAGCTGGACGCGCGGCTCGGGGCCGCGGGGGTGGTTGGCGGGGAGAGGCTGGACGGCTCGGTGTGGGTGCGCGCCGCGGGGCTGGTCAGTAAGCGCTTGGGGTGGGTCGCGTTCGGGGAGAAGGAGAGGGAGTGGGACCGGAGTGCGCATGGCTGGGAGGCAGCGTGGGAGGGCGTGGACGAGGAATGAAAAAATGGCTCAATCAAAATATTGAATTATCGGAGGAAGGGAACCATTATTGAATCTGTCTATTGATACATGTACCGGCGGGGGGATTTCTCTGACATGTCATGTCTTCATCGAAGTTCACTGAACGTTCATAGAAAGCCAAAGCCAGGCCAACTTCCCAAAAAGGAGATTATCTAGTGATATATTGGCCTAGAAGGGTCATTGCTAGTATTTACTGTTGAAGCCAATACTTTACGCGCTATGTCACATTGGTAGTATAAGTGCTGCGTCGTGACGGTCACTGCTCTTTAGCATTGACCGCTACGACGCAGGTATGTACTTCAGCTAGAATAGTCAATAACACAGCATTGACCGCCACGACGCAGTCTCTCGTCAGGATTCTTCCGCGCTCAACAGGTTATGGGCCCCGCGATATAATCCTTAGACACGCTCGCATATTCATTCACTCTTCCAATCCTGTCGTCACTTCGCAATGCCTTTCGACGCTTCAAAGAAGACCTTTGAAAGCTTACACAGCTCACCCAGCAACTACAGTAAATGGAAACTTGATATTGAAGCTACAGCCAAGACCTACGGCACATGGCGCCACATTGAAGGACGCACCCGCGAACCCGAATTTGCGGACCCAAGCGCACCAACGGAGGAGGAACTTGAGAAGCATGAGCGGTGGGAGGACCTTCGAGACCAAGCTGCTGGCATGCTGTGGTTATGCTTGGATGAAGACGAACAAGAACATGTCAGGGATGTCCGCCAAAACCCAGTGAAAATTTGGGCCACACTCAAGGCTGTCCACGAATCCCCAACGGCCGCCCCCCGTTTTGCTGTTCTCATGGCAATGCTCAACACCACTATCGACGAGGGCGAGAAACTGGGACAATTCCTCGGGCGCATAACAAAACTTGGCGGCAACTGGCGAAATCTCCTCCCCGAAACTCTCACCATTCCCCAACTTGTCGAAGAACTCCAGTGTATCATTGCCATCCGCGGCATCTCAGAGACCCACAACAATGTTGCTTCGCATCTTCTGCAAAACAATCAGAAGCAATTATTCCTCACGACAGTCCGCGCATCATTCTTCACCGAAGATAACCGTCCAAAAATCGGCGACAGCTCTGGAAGCAGTGCGACAGCAATGCATGGGGCAAGTACTTATACTCCATCGCTCTCTGGCCCGACCTCATTGTCAACTCCACCGCCGACTCCGCCACCAGGTCTAAAGGAGTGCAACTTCTGTGGCCGTCGTGGGCATGTTGAAGAAGAGTGTTGGACAAAACAAAAGGCGTCTAAAATGGCAAAGGAGGGAAAAGGCAAGAAGAAGGACAAAGAGAAAGTCGAATCTGCAAGCATTGCAAGTACCGTTGCATCCTACGTCTGCACTCTAATTGACTGGATCGTCGACACAGGCGCGAGCCGTCATATGACCTTCCTCCGGCATCTCTTCATCTCGTATAAACCGTGCTCAATACCGGTTCGGCTGGCAGACAACTCAGTGGTATATGCTGAAGGAGTGGGCTCGGTGTTGATGCGTTTGAAAAATGGAAAAGATGTGGAGATAACCGAAGTCCTTCATGTACCCGCACTCCGCTCGAATCTTTTTTCCGCTCTGTTCCTTGTCCGAAAGAAAGGGTTCATGCTTCAAGCAGATACCGTGGGTCTGTCATTCATGAAGGGCGATATCACCATGACTGCAAAGTATACTGATGAAGATACGGCCACCTTGGAATGCCCAACACTTGTTCCACAATCAATTCGGGCCGACTATGCTACACAGAAAAGCACCTTGGCAGAGAACGAAAACCTTTGGCATCGCCGATTTGCGCATCTGAATGTTGATCGTGTTCGCAATGCGATTCAGAAAGAGCTGGTCAGCGGTGCGTCAATAACTGACAATGGCGCCTCAGACCCTATCTGTGAACCATGTATTGCTGGAAAACAGCACCGTTCAGTCTCCCGCTTGCCACGCACACGTGCATCACGTCCTCTCGAACTTATCCACTCTGACCTGAAGGGACCCTTCCCAGTACAAAGTCGAGAAGGCCATCGCTACTGGGTAACATTTATTGACGACAACACTGCGGTTCAGAGCATTTACTTCCTCAGGCAAAAGAGTGACACTGAATCAGCATTCTGGGACTATAAAGCACATGCGGAAGCAAAACACCCAGGCCTTAAAATCGCTTACCTGCAAGAAGATGGGGGAGGGGAATACATCAGTGCAGAGTTCAAGAGAAAACTGGCTGCAAACGGGGTGGTTACTCGCGAAACAGAACCAGGAGAGCCACATCAAAATGGTGTTGCCGAACGAGCAAATCGCACATTAGAAGAAGGCGCAACCGCACTTCTTCAAGAATCCAAACTCCCACCTTACCTCTGGGAACACGCCGTCAGCGCCCTAAACTATGCCTATAACCGTCTCCCAACCAGCAGCTCCCCTTCTGTTACCCTTCAGAGTCGTGGAATCACCAAAAGCCTGATGTCAGCCATTTACGGATTTTTGGATGCCTTGCTTATGTGCTCATCCCAAAGAAAAAGCGAAAACCGTTTGAGTCGAAAACTCAGCTGATGATATTCATTGGGTATCCGGTCGGTACAAAAGCATGGAAGTTTTGGGACACGCGTCGTAAACGTGTTGTTGTCTCATCGCATGCGACCTTCGATGAGCGTGTATTTCCAGGAAACCAATGGCCGCTCGCAAATCCATTTGATCTACCACCCCCGAAACATCCCTTCTTGCATCAACTCAGCAATGTCCCCAACACTGCGAATGACACAGTGCCATTTGACAATTTACCAGATTCAGGGGGGAGAAACAAACTACGAATCTGGAAAATCCAAACAAAAGGTCACTGACACCGAACCGGCACCACAGCTATCACCTCCACCACAGCTATCATCTCCACTCCTCCCAGAAGTCCAGACACCACCACTGTCCCCAATGTCAACGCTCACAGACCTACCATCTGACTTTGAATCCAACTCGGATCAATCAACTCCACCCCCACTTCCGAAACGCCCACTCGCACCACAAGAATTCGATATTTCCGGCAAAGGCGGGCTCTATCGCATGCCCCCCGGCCTTGGACGTGGTCAGCGACTCAAACTAAACCAATTAAACCAAAAGGCACCGTGGAACTACCAAGGCACCTGGGCAGCAAACGCTCAACTTGAATCCGAGCCGTCAGATTTCGTATATCTCAGCCCTCTAGAAGCATTCAAATTCGCTTACCAAAATGCGATGCTATCAGCCCTCTCGACATCGACAGCCGGTCCCAACTCGTACGAGGAGGCAATGCGACTCTCCAAGGAGGAAGCAGAGAAATGGCATGCTGCTGCGCTTCGGGAGTTAGAATCATTAATCGAGATGGGAGTGTTTGAACTGGTCGAACTCCCCGAAGGACGAAAGGCAATTGGCAGCCGCTGGGTATTTCGTGTGAAGCTTAACGGAGACAGATCCATCGAACGATATAAAGCCCGACTTGTGGCAAAAGGTTACTCTCAGCGCCCCGGATTCGACTTCACGGAAACCTTTGCCCCAACCCCGAAGTGGGCGACACTCCGCTTTGTCCTCGCACTTGCCGCAATGGAGGATCTCGAACTCTGGAGTGTCGATATCTCATCCGCGTACCTATATGGCGACTTATCCGAAGACGTCTACATGCAACTACCCGAAGGGTCCACAATCATACCTCCGGGTCAGGCGCTGAAACTTCTCAAATCGCTCTACGGCTTACGACAAGCAGGCCATCAATGGCACCTCAAACTTCACGAAGTCCTTACCTCGATGGGGTTCGAACGAGTTCGCTGCGAGCACAGCGTTTGGGTGTACACGAGCAAAGGATCAGGTACACGCATCATTGTACCGGTGTTCATCGACGACATGACGATTGCTGCAAAATCAAGCGCTGAAGCACATGCATTTATCGACGAACTCGGAAAGCACTTCAAACTACGTGACCTAGGACCCTCGAGTTGGCTGCTGGGAGTAAAGATTGTGCGCGACCGCCAAGCCCGTACAATATCCATGTGCCAGGATCAGTACATCCGCGACATCCTCGAACGAGCGGGCATGTCCAACTGTAACTCGGTAACAACGCCGATGGACCCAAAAGTACGCTTAAGCGCCGCCGACTGCCCGGAATCCTCGGAAGACCAGAAGGCAATGAAGAATGTACCTTACCTCCACATTCTTGGCGCCATCGCCTACCTTGCCGTCGCCACGAGACCCGACATTGCATACACTGTTGGTGTGCTCTCCCGGTTCTCTCAAAATCCCGGTAAAACTCATTGGCAGGCTCTCAAACGAGTACTGCGCTATCTCAAGGGGACCATCGATCGAAAATTGACTTTCGGGGGGAAAATCAACCAGGGGGAGCTTTTCACCACATACAGCGACGCTGACCATGGCGGTAATCCAGATAACGGACACTCAACATCAGCGTATGTCGTCATGATGGGCGGCGGCGCAATAAGTTGGTCGAGCCGCCTACAACCTTTCGTCATGCTCTCGACAACAGAGGCGGAGTATGTGGCGGCGGTATCAGCAGGCCAGGAAATACGTTGGCTACAGAATCTGGCACATGAGCTGGGGTACAATCAACCAGAAGCATCTACACTCTTCATCGACAACCAGTCAGCTATTGCCGTCGCACGAAATCCAGACCATCACGGTCGCGTCAAACATCTCGACCTACGATTCTACTGGTTGAGGGAGGTAGTCGCAGCAAAGTGGATCGTGATCGAGCACTGCAGCACATTGGACATGGTCGCTGATGGGCTCACAAAACCACTCGGAAGCGAGAAATTCCTCAAGATGGTGCAATCACTCGGCTTAACGTGACAAGACGCGCCGCATTGAGGGGGAGTGTTGAAGCCAATACTTTACGCGCTATGTCACATTGGTAGTATAAGTGCTGCGTCGTGACGGTCACTGCTCTTTAGCATTGACCGCTACGACGCAGGTATGTACTTCAGCTAGAATAGTCAATAACACAGCATTGACC